CATCATTTGGATTCCTTTGGAATTTTGTCTTTGACATCACTGACAATAGCACTGGCTCTTAACTGAATGTATTGTCCCACAAGCCCAGGTTGGATAAAGAGGGACCAGGCTCATCATTTCCAACCAGTCGCCAGGTCCCATGGCAGGGACAGCCACACTGCATATGAAGCAACCAGTCCTTGCAGCTTGCAGGCTCCTGCCGTGCGGCTTCGAACCTGTGCTAATCCCAAAATTGCCATTTGGAGCTGTAAACTGAAAAGTGGATTGCCTTTATGCATGACTCAGCTTCCTGCCGTGGTAGCTTCCACGGCTGGGAAGGCTGAAGTGGGCAATTGCCTCAGGGTGGTCATCTCCTCAGCTACCCAGCCTCAGCCTGCCTGCCGTCGGGGCTCAGCACCCTGCGATTTGGAGTATTTTTAATGCCGGGAAGGAAGCACTGTGAGGCTGAAACAGAGAGGGCAAAGAAATGAGTACAGAGAAACTAATTTACTGCTTCACCTGAGACTTTGCCAGTATGTAGGCACTCCAGGCTAACTCAGTTTGGAGATTAGTTGGTAGCTTCTCTTAAAAAATAAAAACTTTTTTCAATTCAACAAAAAGAATATCCAGGAATGTCCTTCACATTCAAATACAAATCATTAAGAGGATCCTGCTGTGTTTGCTGTAAAAGCATACATCAAAAATATGTTATTAAATTGCATATTGAATAACAGATTTTCTAAATTTTATAGTTCAGCAAAATATACTACTTTACAAGACACATTTTAGAGCCAGTGTTTGTGTCTGGGTCTCGAAGTGGTTAAGAGGAAGCTGCCCGAGCACAGATTTGCATACTTTAGGAACCATTGCAAGCAATGCCTGGAGGCTTGGTCCCCAGGCTTCCCCACTGACCTTATTGGCATGGAGCAGGTCTTTAGGGTCTGACATTGAGGTTGATGGCTCACCATTGTGCCGAACAGGAATAAAACCAGACCTGTAATTCTACAAGAGCCTTTGTATAAACACCCATGACTACTGGCTTGATCCTGAAAAAAGGTAGATCAGCCAAGTGGCAGAGGATCTCTACTGGTGTGCATTCAGAATGCATCTTCCCCTTTTACCTGAATGTTTCTCGGTTATCATTCTGGCCTTATTTCTTCCAAGTTCAGATATATCTGAATAAAGCTACAGAAAGCCTCCCTTGGTAAAACACATGGGAACAATTGAGCTATTTTGTTTCCTGATGGCCTGATCCTGCATTAATTCACACTGCACAGCGCTTTACCTCTTAAGTCCCAGAGGCGAGTGTAGCTCAGTAGTACTGATCCACAGAGATCAATACAAAACTGCACCAAGTTGTTTGGCTTAAACCTAGCATGAATAAGTTTCACAGCTTACAGAAAGCTATCTGAAGTAGCGTGGCATTCTGAGATCGGTTTTGTGTAACATTGAGCGCTATAGGGTCAGCTCTAGTAATCTGAAGAGCTTGGGCAGTAACCTGGGCAATATGCTATGGACAGGGTTGCGATAGCTGTGAGGAACCGATTTATTCTGCCTGCAAGCTGAATTTATGTTCTTGTGCATATGTACTTCAGTGTGTGTTGTGGGGTGTTGAAAAGTGTTCAGCAGTGGTCTGGTTTCACTCTCACAGGAGTCAGCAGGGACATGCTCAGCAGTTCTGCTGAGGTGGAGGCAGACCTACAGTCACCACTTCTGTATGTAACGGGGTCATAATAGCAGAGTTTTTTATGGCATCTTTCAAATGGAGCACTTTGCCCTGCACTAAAATACAACCGCTGAGCTAAGACCTAGGTACTTAAAATACTCCCTCAGGTGTTTAGCGCCTGGATCTGCCAGGGGCAGCATGTTCAGCCTTCCTATTGCCTTCTTTCCCAAAATCTAGTTATTTGCAGTGCCTGGCAGGGAAAAGTTTGAGGTCAAGTCAAAGATCCAAGTGTAGGAATCAGCACATTGACCACTTGCATGCAGAAGCCGAGGGACTCCTGCGCAGAGTTGCATCCTCTTAGTGAATACTAACCTAAAGCTGAGCGGTTTTTGCAGCTCCCTAGCAAGCTGGCCCAGTTTTAGGAGCAGGCAGTTGCCTAGAGCGACAGACGAAAGGAGGCAATAAAATCACATTTTAAGCAAGAAAGAGACCCTGTGACTCTGCGCCTGTTCCTGCCTGTTTAATGAGGGCTCGGTGCATCCCCCAGGCATCATCCTCCCCGAGCTGCTGAGGTGCCAAGGCCGAGCAAGCTCCTCACCACAGGAACTGTGGCCACGGTCATGTTGTTTGAACATCCCGGCTATTTGTTCTCATCTCTGCTTTAGCTTGCTGCTGCTGAAACTGAGGGGAGAAACTTTCTGTGTTCCTTCTCTGCACCTTCTTCTTAACAGGGCTGTGTTGCTTTTGCAAGGGTGGTTGGATTGGCAGGAGAGCAGGGGCAGATGTGCTGAGATGAGAGCTCATAGGATTCATGCTTCACTAAAAAAAACCCTGTTATTATTATCCTTGCAAATTAGGAATGACAGGCTGCCTAAGCTTACTGGGTTTATATTTATGTCAAGAAGCTGATTGCAAGAAATAAGATATGTCCTAGCAGATCTTACATGGTACTGGGTTCCCGTAAGGACCTTTTATAGCCATTTCGGGGCTCAGTTAACTCTACTTGATTTATACTTCCTATTTCTACGTAGTTCTGAGTGCTGAAAATACGTGTATGTTCAATTTTGTTAGATTTTGCAACTTTAGTCAGTTGCTGCCTCACATCATGAGGAGAGCTGTGAGAGGCAAATTGGCCCACATCGGCCCACTGCAATGTTCTTCAGCTTTCTCTGAAACAGCTGGTTGACAACATCCAAAAGAAGATGCTAAACTACATAGGCTTTGGTCTCATAAAATGAGAACAAGTTTGAGTTTGTGCATTTTTAGCCCACAAATACATTTTTCCTCTAAGTGAGTCTGTAATGAAATCCTGGTAACTTCTTCCTCTATGTTCTCTGCACAGTTTAGTAATACTAAAAAAAGTTTTCCTTTTCCCTTTTGCTCATTTGTATTTTGAATATACAATACAGAATATGTGTCATAAAATAATTTCTGGATTGTACAAGTGACGTAGCTCCAATGTTGGTTCCTATATTTTCCTGCCAATAAATTTGGATTTTGGACGTAGGTGCATAAGGTTTTGTCTACCTGAAGTTTTAAGGATACAAAACTTCATGATGGTGGTGACTACTCAAATAAGGATATGGAACATGTAATACAAGGATGTAGCATCCGGCATTTGGTTTCTTCTAGAAAGTCTGCATACACGCACATATCTAGGTACAAAAGTAGCTACCCTGAACTTAAGTAGAAAATGGGCACGAGCTCCTGATTTTGTTGAAGGCAGTGGGAGTTTTGCCACTGACTCAACTGGTTATACAATCTGAAAACCTACAGGATTCGGGGTGAATATTTTCTTCCAATCTTTCTTAAAAGCTGGAGTAGAAGAAGCCATTTTTGGAAGTATTGTAATAGATGGTGGATTGAAGTTTCCTGCATGATAGTAAGTGTTAAAAGGAATTAGGAGGAGGTCAGAGACTGGCAGCTCTCAGAGTAGGAAGGGCATGGAGTGTGGAGAATCAGAAACAGGCTTTTTGATCACTGCAGTGCAAAATACTCTTTTTTTACTGGCCTCAGCTGAGACTGCATTTCCAGTTGCAGGGAGGAGGCTGGATGTCCCGCAATTGAGAGACAAATATCCTTCCTTTATTTTTTCCACAGCAGAGTTTTCTTTATATTTCCTTGTATGCCATTGTTACACCATTGGTGGATCTCTCTGTGTTCTTACCAGCATGATATTTAAGCCTTCAAACCACATCATTTCCATAAGTGCTGAGGAGGGAACTCTAACCTGGAGTAAGAATTTCCAAACAGAGAGGTGTAAGAATAGTCCTGGTTTTCAGGAGCTGCCATGTGGTGTAATTATGCACTTGTACAGTATACGGAGTAATTTATATTTCAAGGAAAAAGGGAAGATAATACCTCCAAGCTGGTTAGTTTTGTGTCTTTGTAAGCACAGGAGTACTTCATTCTCACCTCCAAGTCCCAGTCTGACTTGCCAGCTGGCATCGGCAAAAGGACTTCTACTTTATCCTAAAAACAGTGCACCACCAGGAGCCTGGCTTAACCCCTGTAACGACAATGGTCTGGGTATGAGAGGTTTGCTTTTCTAGTCATTTTCTTCTTTTTGAGGTTCTGTAGAAACTCTGCAACCTAGCAAAGCAAACGTAGCCTTTTCTGTTAAAACATTACAAGTGGCTGCACCACACCACATCTTTATTTTTATCTCTTATGTCACACTTGATTGAAGGGTTCTTTGCAGCTAAAATAACATGATGAAGGCATGGAAATTATTTTTGTCTTACTTTCTCCTGGAAGCTTAAAAGAAACCTGCTTTCTCACACAGAATCCTCATACATAGATGTACGCTCCCCAGGGATACATACGTGCACAAATGCCCACACACACTCAAAAGAAACAAAAGGACGTATGTATTGCTAAATTCACACAAGAGATATGCAATGTTAAGATTGCAAAGATAGTCTTTCAACTTTGTTCATGTAGCTTTAAATTTTGCCTTGTTGCACATATACATTATAGCAGTCCTTAACTAGCCCAGTACTCTGTTTTAGCACCCTTTGATATAACTCAGTGCAAAAGAGGAGTTCCTTACTGTGTTCAGCTCTTGGTCAGCATGTGCTCAGTGGCATACTTGCTGCTCACTGTTCAGACCCCGTCTGCAGATAGATACAGCCTTTTTCTCCTCAGCTCTTCCATGTCTTTTCCCAAGATAGTAAAGATAGTAAGTACATAAGCCCTTCCAAAATATGAACTCATTCTCATAACACCCAAGCCAAAGAAAGTTTCATTACTAAAACACACTCATTAATACCAAAAGTATCTGTTAATTTTGGATGCCCTTTCTAAGATACCAAGGACTGCTTTTTTTTTTTTTTTTTTTTTTTTTTTTTTTTAAAGTAACTGGTATTAGATACCAAGTGCAAGTAGCAATTTTTGTCCCCATCAGCTGTAGCTGAGCGTGTTCGGGTTATTTGTGTTCTAAGCTTCAGACTTTCAAGTCAGGTACTCAGAAAACAAAGAGCCTACAATTAATGATCACCCATGAAAAATTTAAAAGATGTAATTAGCATCCTAGGAAGTCCATGGTGGAAGCCAGGAAGGAAGGAAATTCCCTCCTCTCTCTGGAGCAATATTCACTTTCTTAGCCATGAAATGATTTTTTCCTTTCCTGTAATTCCTTGCCTCATTGCTGCACCTCCTAACCTCAGCTAAAAATAAATCATGGTCCTTTGACAGCAATCTGCTTAGTTTTACAGTCCTGCCTCATCCTTAAAGGTTACATAGTTACAACAGAACAGGCAAAATATCCTCCCATGCATTTTTAACTTCTTATTCAATAAACTGTAATTTCCCTCCTCAGCTCAGCATCACAGATCTTCCCACATTTCCCACAGAATGAGGGAACCTTCTGCGGTCCAGGTTGTGTCCATTGCCTCTTGTCCTGACCCTTGTCTTCATCTTTTTGGCCAGCCACTCACTCCTGGCTTTTTTGTCCCTGCGCTTTTTATTTGTCATTGCTTTGCTTGGTTGTTTTGAGCTCCTCTTCTAGGTCCCCATCAGCCTTCCCCTTCCCCTTCGCCTGCTCTGCTCCCTGGCAGGGGGGTGGTGGAATGGCCTCTGCCCATGCTGCTCCCTGGTAGATGCTTCTAGCATCTAAAAGATGAGCTTTGGTCTTCCAAAAATATGTATCGGTGGTGGTGACATGCAAGCTAAAGTTCCACGTGGTGAGAACTTTCGACATTATACCTAATGGCTTCTAGATCTAGAAAATGCTTATGGCAGCAAAGAATATTACACTCCCTCTGAGGAAATGAAATCCAAAGAAAAGCCAGAACGTGAAGGAGGAGGAGGGACAGAAGGCCGGGATGTTTCTCTGAGAGTCGGTCCAAGTTTCTGTGCCACTGCTTTGCAGAGATTGTTGTGGCAAGTAATCTTGGACTCATGTTCAAAGCAGCAATTAGGGGGAGGCTGAATCAAGTGAGCATGTACATGTCTGCAGCAGAGTTAAGAGAGGGCCATCTGCTGTGCAGCATTTTGAGAGTGTTTTCTAAGTGAACTACACCTGCTGCACATGTGGTAATTAAATTTGAAATAGAAGAGTCAAAATATTCCTGCAGCAAGGTTGTTGATGAATAAGGCTTACCAATCTGATTATAGACATTTATATATTTATTTGTGCACATTACATGACAAATAAAATCACCACTCTGATTTGTTTGTGCTAATAGAAAATAGACCCATTTGCACTCCATTGTTAATGTGATTTTATGGGATTTATTGACATGGCAAGTTTATTTTAGACATATGAAGACATATGAAGACCCAGGAGAGTGGGATTGCAGTAGTAACATTAATTTGTCATCTCAGTGCTAAGAAGGAAGGGAAAAAAAAAAAAAAAAAAAAAAAGCTTGCAGAGCTTTGTTTTACCTGCAGGGGTTCTGAAGGAGCAGCTGTCACTTTTTTTAGTCTTATTTAATATATGCCATCATTTTTCATCGTGCTCCCGAATTGATACTGCAGCTATGCTGGGGGAAAAGGAAGCTCTCCACCTGCTCCAAGTCCAGAACAAAGTGCTTAATCTTGGAGACAAGCACTGAAAGCAAAAGGGAGTTTCTCTGTGTGAATCTAGTTGCTCTGTTGCAGAAATAATGGCAGTGGATTTCTGTCTCTAGTCTACTGTAGCTAATACTGATTTCTGTAAGCTGATGGAGCATGCAGTACCCTATTACCAAATGCCATCACAGACATGTTTTGTAACCACTGCCATGCCACAGTTGCACAGTGCTGTGCTCTGAAGTGTTATGAAGGCCCTCGGGCAGCCCGAATGTAAAAACATTTGGTGAAGAATCGTGAAGACAACTATCATCATCTGGGGGGGAGTTTTAATTTGAAATAAGCTTTATTCCCAAATAAAACCTGTCATTTGGGTCTCTGTTGCCGTAGAATGATTTTTTTTTTTCCTACAGAAGCAGGAATAGTTGAGACTTATTGTTAGCAGCTAATCATTGGTAAGCCATTTCAATAACTCCAGTAAGCCTGTTTCTTGAGTTCTGTATGCCTCGTTATAAGGAATGGCTCCAGAATCTGCCCTTTCACCAACGTGCCAAACTGCACATCCAAAAAGGCTTCAGAGACCCAGCTGCATGCTCCCGGTTGTATCAAAGGTTGCTGTCAGTGTGGTATCTTCTCTTGTGCTTTTCTCATGAAGAAAATCTTTGTGTTTGGGGCTAGATGGGAGCAGCAGCAGGCACCAAATTGGGACGAGTGCTCCGACACTCACCGCCTGCTTCCTTCAGGCACAAGCATCCGGATCCCACTTTGTCAAATGTGCTCCGAGCAGGTAAGTGTGCTGAGTGTGCGATTTGATAGTATCTTCTTCTCTTGGCTGGGCTGTCTGGTGGGTGCAGTCACTTCTTTTTGAGGCTTCCTGCATGAGATGGTTGGCAGCTGGTTTTGCAAGAGGCGCTGCCTTCTTCTGTTTGTCTGGGTGCCAGCTTAAACTGTTTGGACAGCTTTAAATCTTTCATAAAGTGCTTCTTCAAGTAAAAGCTTTGTTTTAAGGTGTCCAACTACCTACAAAAAACTAAAAATAATAAATTACGTCCGGTGCCTGCTCACCAACTTGCTTTACAGGCTTTTCTGTGGCCCTCTTCTGTTGGCAGGAGGGGGGCCTGGGGATGCTGAGCATCCAGGGATGTTTGGGGCATGTCTGGGAGCCAAGCCCCACATTCATGAATCTTAATGGAAGTGGCTGAAACTCAAGTTCAGTTCTTACCCTTTTTCTGTTAAAAAAAAAAAAAAAGAAAGAATGAAAGGAGCTCACAGCCTTTTATCATACAGCCTAAATTCCTTTATTCATGAAAGCACATAAAAATCATGCAGGCTTAGGAAAAGTGCCTTCCTCAGAGGCCACGAGCAGCCCCGTTGATTTCTTTAGGAGATGGAGCACAGCTAGAGCTGGGATGAAGCCCTCAGCCTCCTGCTAGGTTGTATCTTGCTTGTGCACATTCAGTTAAACAAATTGCTAAATCTGAGTCAGTTTTTATGGCTTTGTAGTTTTGTACAAAGTATTCAGGTTGCAGATTGTTACTGGAGTTGAAAAAAATATGTTATTGTGTGTAATAATAAAGTAGACAGTAAAATGGATTTCCTTTTAGGTTTTCTTTGCTCCAAATATGTACTATGTATTTTCTTCAGCTCACTAAGAGAATAGTCTACTGAATGAGGCATGGTCAGGGTGTCGGGAGCCTTGGATTTAATTTCCAGGCCTGTCAGAGTTTCCCTGTGCAATGACTAAGCAAGTCCATTAGGACTAGATCTGCAGAGAAATTTAAGGCTATAACTCCAGGTGAGGACGATCCTTCTTCAGCTGCTGCTTAATCCTTTATTCTGTAATTGCTAATTTCGGTCACTCAGCTGTATGATTTCTGAGAGTAAAATTCCCAAGAAAATAATTCTTCCCGTGAATTTTCAGGAGCCAGGGGGTTAAAGGTGGGACTGAGGACTGAGTAGCTTTAGGAGTAAGCTTATATAGTTTCCTTATTCATGAGCTGTGAGGGTACTAACATACAAGCTGTAGTACCTCCTCACCCCACAGGGGTGCTGGAAGCATTAGAGATCATGAGGAAAAGGTAAGCATGAGTCCCTTTCTGGGCAGAAGTGTGTTACCTCTGGGTACTTCTGCATGTCCTTACAGAGTTCAATGACTGTGATCTATAAAAAAGAGGAATTTAACTAAAACTGAAATAATCTAAGTTACCAAGAGAGAGTTTAGCCAAGACAGTGGATTTAAATCTACTACTTTCAAGATGATTGCTTTTGATACTCTTGTAATACAACTGCATAAGATGTCATTTAGGTTTTCACCTGGAAAACAGCATTTCAGTCCATATGCTGTGCTAAATTTGTCCTGTGGCATTGAATCAGTGAGAGCAGATAGGCACTACAAGTTACCATGGCACCTCCTGGGCGATTTACCTCATGGTTCCCTTGAGGAACGGTGTCTCTCATGTGAGTACACACACCACTTCCAGGGACAGTGCGTTTGTATTAATGGTGTTCCTTTTTGGTTTGTTTGTATTGTTCTCAGATATAACACCAAAACCGAGCTTTTCAGATCACCCCTTTTCCTCTGAAGACACAAGCTTCCTGTGTGAACGTGTGGGCCTGACCCAGGTGCTGAGGCTATCGGCATTGCTGCTTCTGTCGGCCTCTGAGGAGCTGCTTGGCAAGTAACGTGGGCACAGTCTGATGGTATTTCGGGAAGCCAGTAGCTCCCCAAAGGGCTTTCCTGGATTTAGGAATGAATTAAAGTTTCACTGTTCATATTAAGGATATCACAAAGGTCGCTTGCTGATCTCCAGAGGAGACAGGCAGCTGAACTGTGCAGGAGATAAAAGCTCTCTGCCAAATAATCCATTGAGCAAATAATTGGCTGTGCCTTCAGACTGCCGTGATACCATGACCGTTAGGAGAAAACATCACTGGAAACGTCTGAGCATGGTAAAATCTCACAAAATTCAATCTCAGAAGTTACAGACTCAGGTATGACAGTCAGGTATGACAGTCAAATGCATGAAGCTGTTTAATTCTATACCCTTTATTTAAGAGCTTTTGTAGCATTTTGCACCAATACAGAAATAGGTGGCACCTCAGAGCTACTACATTTCAGTCTCGCTGAATGTTTCCAGGAAGCACTCAAATGATCAATGGAGACATTTTTTTTCTCTTAGTCATAGACATTTAATTTTATGTGTATTCCATATAAACAGGATTAGGTTTAATCAACTGTAGTTTTCTTAAGTGTGAGTTATTTGGCTGTCATACCTGCGCTATAATTTTATTAATGTCTCAATGGATACTTAAATCAATATCTTCTGGTCCCACCTGCCCTGCTTTCCCTTGCAAATAAACAGCCATGCTATAGTTAACAAACAAGTGGATGCTTAGGAACAGAGGTGCCTTTTCTTCTGTGGTGTGGATTAACTTTGCAACCTGGAAGTGGCAGCAGCAGAAGGGCAGGCACCCCTATGTTATGGTGGGCTCACCCACGTTCTTGCTTCAGTCTGAACTCAACTGCAGTTTTGAGATATCTCTCCCAGTTGTCCCCACTTCCTGGGTTTGGGCTGGCATTGTCAGAAGTCTCAGGGTGCAGGAACTGGAACCCTTTCAGGTGATACTAAAGCAAGCTGTGGCATTCAGCCCATGGGGCCAGATAGTCTGAAGTTAAGTACCAAAATCTAAAATGTGTATGCTGTTGGTATCAAATTTTCTGCATCAACAGTTTTAATCTATGGACCTACTGCTTTTCATCCACACTACTTGCTAATGTAGCGAAAAGTACAGGCTTTTTTTATTGATGATTTCCAGGTAGCAGGGAACAGAAAGTATCCCTCATCTATAGAGTGACACAGAGACTTCGAGATTTGTATTTTTTCAGTAGTCAGAACAGAAATAGCATTCTTATGCATTATTGCTGATTTATTTAACTTGCACTATTTGAATTCTTGTGCAATTGAAAGATCAGAAATAAGAACGCCAGGAAATAGTTTAATCTGCTGCTCCAGTTTCTCTCTACTGCTAGATAATCAGTTTTTGATTGAAAATGTGACCATTGTGTTGTCAGCGCCTTTGACTTGTTTAATTTTAGTTTCCTCTGTTTCACTGTTCATGACAAACGAAATCACCTGTAATGAAACTTATGGAACGATGGTTCTGTGCAGCCCAGCTATGTGCATTGTCTGCTTACAGCTGTGATAAACATAGCTGATAAACTAGGTGATGAGGACTACATAATACACAACTGCATGCACACACTTGTATATACGTTTATGATATACACATAGGACTAATCCACACTGATTGATTACATCAATCCAATATATTGCAGAGAATAAAGTCAATGTTAGGCCTTACAAATGGCAAATGGATTTTTTTTTCATAAAACTTTCACCTCTTACACTCTGTAATGGGGTGTCCACAGAACAAAATGCAGAGAAAGTGTAGTCTGTATGTTTAATTCCTCATAAGGCAAGAGAAAATATGTTCCCTAGGTCCAAATAAACCACTGTTTCATTGACTTCAAAACATTTTGGCCATATAAGTTCAGCTCCTTTGAGTCCTAGCATCTGCCTTACTGGGGCTGGCTTCTGTGTCTGGCAGGATGTATTGCATCTCAAGGAGTATTTTCATTATGATTACTCAAAAGGCCATTTCTTTATAGGACGTGTTATTTTCTCTGAAACCCTCTTTTCTTGTACCCCACAGGAAAGCATCAGAGTGAGATATGTCATGAATTATTTTTGGAGTGACTGGGTCAGGCATGTGGCAATAGTTTATTGTAAGTGCAAAACGGTGTGCAATGAATAGAAGCAGTTTGATATGATTTTCTGCTTGTAGTGGCTTTTCAGTCTCTAAAAAGCAAAACTGAGAGTATATATTGAAGTAGAAGCTCAAGTGTTTTCCTATTTTCTGAGTTGATATGAGCTTTATGTGTCTTTAAAGCACAAGGCTTAGGAAATACTCTTATTATGAGGTGTCTGTTTCAGTACAGCCAGGCATTCAGCTGTGCCTGCAGTTTTCAGAAGATGAACACATGACTGAGGAAGAGGAAGACCTGTCAGGAAAAGAAGCTGGGGTAAATCCAAGTTTTCAGGAAAACAGACTCTGGACCTTGGACCTCCTTATGGACTCGTCAGAGAGAAGGCCACCTGGGAGGACTTGCAGAGGAAGATCCGGACTATGGTCTAAAAGGGGTCTGTTTTGGCAAGGACAAGAGAGATGGCTTAAGAATACATACAGCTGGAAGAGTTCCTGGGAAACAGTAAAGCAGGTCAGGTTTACTGCTGGTATCCTATTGATTTAGGAGGCTAAGTCTCCAGCACTACATTGTGAACATAGTCCTCATCCCCTGATAGTCATGTGGCGGTGGTGGCAGAGAAGGACTCCAAAGCTTTAACAGAGGCTACCAAACCTTGATATGACAGGAGAAAGGTAGCCCTGAAACATGGGCTTACTGGGAACAGGCAATTTGCTCTGTGTGTCTAGAATGCTAATTTTTTTCCTTGAAAAACAGGAAAGCATATTTGAAGACACTGTAAAGCCAGGTAGCATATAGCTGTCATTTATTTGTCAGGAAAAAAAAAAGGAAAAATCTATTTTTATTCTTGAGCAATCTTTTCACTTTCCTTCTTTTAAAACACAATGACAGTTAATGATTAATAGACACAGTCCACAGTGCTGCCAGCAGGAAGCCAGCCTGAGTGTGGGGGAAGTCTAAATAATTGAAGGGAAAAGGTGACAGAGGCAGCCGTTAGTTCTTCTGGATAAGAAAGGCTTCATTGCCTGGCTATTTGCCCAAATAAAAGGGAGAATTTACCATTTGAGTAGTGTGATCTGTAGATTTCATGGTGGACTTTTCTCGGGGGCAAAGAAAACGACAGGGCTCAGTGTTTCTAAATTTGTAGAAATTGATGCAAACCTCCTAATTTTTAGTTGCATTACAGCACTTACACCATAACCAGCTTGTCAGAAATAACTGGGCAGGATTCCAGAAACAAAACTGAGCACCCTATCGCAGCATACCGACGCCCTATAGCAGCATGAATCATGTAGCACTGGCTAGCTGCCTTCACGGAGTGACTCTTCTCCATGGGCATCCTGGTGGTTGTGGGAGACCCTGCATACTTGCAAAATCAGGTCTGTAATTTTACAGGACTGAGCAAATCGGAGTGGCAAATGTCAAGCTGAAAACTAACTCCAGTCTTCTCAAGCTGGGCAATGAAAAACAAGTGCCCAAAATAAATAAGCACTTTTCAAAGAGTAGGTTTCAATTTGTTTGCTGAACTGCACATTCTGCAGCTCTATATCATGGAGATAAGTGGAGGGAGGATATTGTTTCAGATTCTCTTCAGGAGAATAGAAGAACCTTTCCTTCAGTTTTGTGGACTACTGTCTCATCTGACACCTCACATAATGTAGTTTCCTTTCATTTCTAGGCAGAACTTGAGAAGTGCCAGGAAACAAGCTGTCCTGTTTTCTACAGGAAAAGTTTCCTGGAGCCTAATTAGTCTTTTTGCACAGGCAATAACAATAAGGCAATTGTTAAATGATGGCATTTAACTGGTGATGTAAAATGAGATGGTGATGTAATGAGAAGCCATCTGTTAGTTCCATGTGGTTGTTAGAACTTACAGCAGTGACCATGAAAGGATGCAGGGGCCATGCACTGGAGCTCATGAACTGCGTGAGCCATTTCTGGGACATTTGGACATTGAGCTCAGTCTTTGCTAACTTCAGGGCTCTCCCCATGGCCCATGACTGTTCTAGATACTGTTTTCTTGAAGAATTTGTGTCTGCTATCCCTCCTGATAGTCTTGTAGCTATATCATGTTGCTCCTTATACTAACTGATTGGCCCACTTCTATGTAACTTTTATGAGAAGGGGCTGGTGTTGCCCAGAGTCTTGTTTTGGCTTACATTTGAAGGAATGTGTGGAATCTATTTAATGAGACCCTGTTGTGTAAGCTGGTTAGGTGACTGCCTAACACCCTGGTCACGGAGGTGACAGTTAAATGCTGGAAGATTTCAGAAAAAGTTTTTTTTGTGCACATATATTTTACCATAACTCAAAGGAGCTTCCTAAAAAAATCATTTTTCTCTAACATTTTTCATTGTGTCTGTCACTTGCAGGTGGCAATGAGCTAGCACCTTTTCATGTTGAGATTCTCACTCTTGAGCCATTTAATTAGGATAGTGATGTTGTGCGGAGAATAAGAATTGGAATTAATTTTTAATATTTTTGCATCCAGTAACTCCTGAATGTTTTGGAAAAAAATCTATAAAAATGCAAGGAGATCTGCCATATGTCATCTTGTACTTAATAGCCTGCTGAAGAGGATATTGTTATTGCAACACTTATTTCTACACCAGCATTCAACTATTTACAGACATTCTCTATTCTTTCATCAACGTGTAACATTAAGTGGCTCTCCACAACCATGTCGGGTGTGTGCTGGAAATGTTCCAGAAAGGTATTGAAACAACATAAAGGAGAGTGTAATAGAAGCTAATGACCTTTTCAAGTTTTGTTTTGTTTTGTTTTTTAACATGAAGGGGAATCACAAATGTATTTTGGATTTGTTTCCTAAAAGCATCACACTCAGTCCAAGTGATAAGAATTGTAGGAATGAAGGCTGAAGAGAGAAATTGGAGTTAAGGGGCTTCATGTGAGAGCAGAAAATACTAATGATTCCTTGGATGTCAATGAGAAGGAAGGATGTCAAAAAAGAGAAAAAGAATTAATTTAACAAGCAAAGTCAAGCAAGAGAAGGTCATGGAGAAGAAAAGAGGCCATGGCTGTGGCAGGACAAAGATAGCTGAATGCACAGGAATGCACAGGAGCTCCGTGATTGAGACTCAGAAGCATTTAGCTAAGTTACAAACAACAGCTATGTATGAATGGAAGTCAAGGATCTATTTTGTCTACTACATCCATAATAGTATTGCCTAGAGGCATTCTGCCTGCAGAGACTCAGGAGGTAGCAGCAACCTTCCTACAGTGTAAAAACTGTAGGGAGGTCGTGTCCTGATCCCACAACTACTTCCCATCTGGTAACGCTGAGATGATTTTCCCTCCCTGCTTAACAACCTTGCATTGAAAGGTGGCTGCTGTCAGATACCAGAGTGGTGTCTAAAGGAAGACTCCCAAGGGACTTTACAAGTTGATGCGAGGGAGGAGCAGGGCTCCTGCCAAAGAGCAGCTTGAGGATGAAGGAGGCACCAGAGACAAAGGCTCAATCTGAGGCCATCTGGGTATTAAACAAGGAGGGGACACACCTAGCCCTCACGGAGGGTGAGCTGGAGACTGGTCGCTTTTGGTTGTCTGAAGCAAAACTCACGTGTCTACTGTGATTTTTTTAGAGGAAGTGGCATAGAATTATTTCTTTTGAGCAACAGTTTTAATTCAGAGATTTTGTATATTTAAGCTCTTGACAGCAGATCTAATGTTCTTGCTAATAGAGCTAAATTACAGAACAGAGGCTTCATTTTTATTATATAACATATTGTAAGTCTGCAGTGGTTCTGAGTGAGACTGGGAGAAAAAAACAATGTTGTGTTAAGTGTGTGACCTGTTTTGATTGCTACATCTGTCACGTTTCTCTTCCAATTCTGATTTTTCTTTCCACTATCTTAATATCTTTGAGTTTGATGAATTATTTCTAAACACAGGAATGATGAAAACTACAAGAATTGGCTCTAAGACTGCTTAGTTATTGCATTGTGTGAGGATAGTTTTCTTTAATACACCACCTATTTACAAAGTACTCAGAAGCTGATTTATTACATCTCATGGGCACTCTGCATTTCTCTGGATATTTTGCATTTTCTGCATTTCTAATGGATATTTTCCTTAGCTCCTGTGACTTCTGAATGTCTGCTGTCATTTTGGACTGTGAGAAACTGATGTACCAACCAGCTTGCTTCAGCTGATGAAAAAGTCTGTGTTAGAGGTAGGTACTATCAGATCTCCATTCCCAGACTAATCTTTTAAATCTACATTAAGAACTGGACTGGAACCATTATGTTTTTGAAATTTTCTATGCAATTTCTTAAAAACATTCATGAATTTTCAGAATTAAATTTGCTTGTTATACTTTGGAGCTATTATGTGAAATCAAAACTCTTGCCAAATTTGCGGTGGCCAATAAAAAGAGTGTTGAATTCAATGAACTGCTGTCTAAAATCCCAGGGTTTATGTTTTTGGCTAGAGGTAGGGATTTGAGGTTCCAGAGCTAGAGTCTTGGGTTTATTCATCCAAAGATCCACCCTGAAGGTGTGGACATCAAAAAAAAAAAAAGCTCCTGACTTTGGGAAGGTCCCAGTGATGGGCACATCTGGGTCATTGAGGACTCTTGGTTGCACTGAGTTGCATGCCTTAGAGCACTTGTTTAGCGTTTGGCAAAAGCTCATCAATCCATAGGTATTTTTACTAAAACAGTTTGTTCCACATTTTCTGACAAGTATTCATCCGAACGTATCCAGTGAGTTTAATTGCTGAGTAACAGGAGCCATAATATTTCACCAAGCATTCCTACAACAATAGGATATATTTGGGTCAAACTACAGCATGCATCTTCAGTGCTAAATTAATATCCTCTCTGCTATTGTTAGTTCAGGCAGCTTATAGCTAGCTGAAGTACAAGAGAAGCTAATATTAAAAATTACTGAGCAGTGGCTAAAATGGCCAGTGAATTGGTAATATGTCATGTAATTATCCTGAATATTTGTGAAGGCACTTTTATTATCTATTCAAGTTACATATTTTACATATATATAGAAAACCACTGCACTATGACTTTGGACTGATTTACGTGGCTTTGTCTTGTTGGAATTGAATGCAAGTTTTATGAGAAAAGTGACCTTGAAATGTCCAACAAAAATTATTCAGAATGTTCCAGTATTCAGAACGCAGCTTATGAACAAGGATAATTCTTTGTTGAATTAATTATAAATGATGTAGACAGTAATTCAAACATATATTTCCTTGAGGCACCTAAAATCAGATTTTTTAATACTTTTATAGTAGATAGCTGTAGGTTTTCTAGGGAATTAAGCTTAAGTTCCATATTGTGTTATCACTGCCATATGGATTATCTTTGCCTCACCCACCTAGACACCACAAATTGTTGGTGACAACATCCCTAGCTCCCGCTCTGATTCCACGCTAGATTATTTTAAAATAGAGATAGTGATGTTTCAGAATTGCCTCTTGTGGATGTGATTCTGCTGTGGGAGCACAGCCTGACATAATAGCATAGCTACTTTACTATATTGCTTGGAGGATAAGATTTTAAACACCTGTTCAGATATGAATGATACATTTACTTCTCATATCTCTACACTGAAAACTCATTTTGCTCTGAAGATAGAAGTAGTTCCTCCTGCCAAATCCCTGAACACCCTCATTTCCATCCAGGAACCTGTTGACCTCTCAGAAGCAATCTGTTCCTCCCAAACTCAAATCAGCTGATTCCAGATGGAATGGGTCCATGTGTTAGAGCAAGTTTTTGAAGAAGGTGATTGAACTAAAACTACATGCATGCCCTGGTTGTTACTCTTTATAATTGCCCCTAATATATCAATCTGTTTAAAACAGATACCTACTGAGTAGTTATAGCCTGCCTGTGTGGCAAAAATTATGTAGGCCTTTAACAGGAAGTATGTTAGCCTTGTCAAGAAGTTATGAAACAGGATGGAAAAGATTTATTATGTACCTTTAGGGCAAGTCACAAATATGCTGGAGGCCAAATGCTGGATGAAGGACAAGCCATTTTGATCTCAACAAAGTTTTCATAGTGCATCATATTTTTTACCTGTGTGCTCAGATGACCCCAAGTCCAGTGTGTGGTAACACTATTAACTCTGGTAAGTACATATGATTTTGGAGTTGTGATACAATTAGTTGTGAGAAGCTAGTTGTGAGGAAGAGCATACAATACAAATGAAAGTGTGTTTCTTGAACTTGCATTGAGGTAAGCTCTGTATGTACTAGGCCAGACCTATACATATAGGTATAAATCTATAAATAATATGAAAATGACATGTAAGGGGTATACTCTATATAGTCTATGTCTGTGGAAGTAATTCACACTCTGTAGTACAGAAAACAGAATTTAAGAAGCTACAAGAATGTTTCATTCTCCTAGGACTATCTTTGCTGTTATGAAACCAAAGCCTCCATATTGACACCCAAGTTTCTTTTCTGTACACTAAATATAATTTTGAGTGCAAACTTTCTTTAGAAGTCAGAAAGCTCTTCAGAAGAAAAAAATGTTGGCGAGTTGGATATTGTTGAGCTAAATCATACTGTGCAGACCTTCTATGAAAAATTAGCTCCAGAACTTACTGTACTGCTTAAATGAGGCCTGTAGTTAAAAGCAAAAATATTTGCACTATGAGCAGATTAATTCTATTCTGCAGGACATGCCTTTAGTAGGAATAATTCTTCAATGTCAGTTTAGCAACAATTTTTTGTATCTGCCTGAACACCTCTTCTGAGATAGAGCTGGTAATCCATCCCATTAAAGACTTAAATACTTCTTTTATACTAAAACATTTTTCTTTATTCCATAAATATCTGGTGGTGCTTATTCTGAACTGAAGTGGGATATACTGCTTAATGTGACATCGTGAGCTCTGAATTTAGAGACGAGTGATGTCAAAGTGTTCCTTTTTCAAAGCAATTATTTTGATAAAATTTTCTTTAATACATTGTGTAGGCCTATTAAAAGACCTGTCAACACTGCAGAGGCCCAACATAAATTTTTCATTTCCACAGATGGATTTATCAGAGATAATGGATAATTTTTTAAATTTTGTTTCAGAGACTTCTAGCGGAGCTAATCCCAGCAGAACAGTGAGCATAGTGCTGTTCTAGCATTTACTTGAGCATTTAGCCACCATTTCTGTCTCGACCCAAATCCCCGACTGCACTGACCTCTGCAAGGGCTGGGCCTTTAGGATTACCTGAAAGGGCATTAAAGATAAAGCAGGAACTGCGTTTCCACTTTAGCCAACATGTAGGACTCAGCTGACCTTCTTTTGAGAGGTTCTCATTAATTTCAGTGGCTATTGAAGTACAGCATCTCTTTCTCCTCCCCAAACTAGACTAAACCTTCTTCCTTCCCCCTGTTCCAATATCCCAAAATCAGGGGAAGAAGTGCAGATGGGGAAACTGTCCTCTTTCAGGATTCTTGGAATGGGATTTATCCAGTCACCAGGCGGAATTTATGTCTCCGTCTCCTTAAGATAAAATACAGAGTGTCAGCAGAAGCAGTATCTTTGTGGTAATTATATTTATATGCTAATAAATGCATAGTGCTTGCTTTACAATAAAATAGAAGCTGCATTTTAATTTGATCTTAGTATTGGTCAGATGAATAAATGTATCATTTCTTCGTCAAGCAGAAATATTACAGAAATGAAGTTAAGTAGCATTTGGATGCACTGACTTTGTATTTACTTGATTTTACCTGAGGAAAAAGTACATGGATTATGTTGCTGTTGGATTGCTGTCCATGGCAAAGTGTGATGACAAACTGGATTAAGGTAATATAAGTAAAATAGAAGACAAATGTTACTTCAAATACATGCTGATATTTATTGAGATGTTGCAGAGTCATCATTAGATTTAACTCAATATAAAGGACGTTATAGTAACAGCAGCAGCAACTCTTGCAGTGCTGTTGCTGACTTGGGGATTTTATGAATGTTACAGAACTTTTAGGAAAGCTCCAGAACTTTTGCCAAGGAAAATAAAAGGCCGGAGCAGTCAACTCAGGGTGTTGAAATAGATGAAAATAAACCAAAGTAAACAGGAATTGTCAACTTTTTACAAATCAATCTTATACTTCAATTAAGGAAAGAAAAAAATGCTAGCATGCTTAAGTATGTGCTAAGCATGCTATATAAAGTCATTTATTGTCACCTGTTAAAGGTTATTTTTACAGAGAGCAAATTGAAGGGGAGTTTACCAATGACTTCACATTAGACATTAGATCAGATAAAGGGAGTATTTCAGACTTATGCATTTGATATGCTATGTATACAAAATTTATGTGGACTGTTTAATGATGTTCACTGTGTATCATCTGTTTAGAACACAAGACATCACCACAAGTACTACCGTTTGACAGTTCTAGATATGCTTCAGGATGGAAATTCATGAAGCTCGTATCTTTTGGGAATTTTGTAATCTTGGCTTTCACTGAAGTTTCTAGATAATTTTACATATTTTTTAATGACAATAAAACCTACAGTGATATGACATAAAGGATCTGTTACTGATTGCATACTTTCAGATGAATAAGTGTCAATTCAATACATACAGTGTATCATTTTCCAGCAGATAAACCAATTTCTGTGCTATTTAATTCACCAAGAGGTGGCAGCCTTCACTTGATTCCCTCTACACTTGTCCTGTGATGTAAGTTGACCAGATATGTGGCACTGGTACGCATTGAGGCATTGATACGCTTGTACAATGGTTGGTGGATGTCTACAGATGGATTTTCAGGCTGTGCCAATACCATTGGTATTCTGTATTATTGATTTGATAATAAAATAGCTGGAAGAAGACAAAATATATAAGAAATTAAGTTGTGACCTTTGTTATGAGTTGAAATAATCGCCCAAAAGCGGACTTGTTTTGAAGATTGAGTCCTACTTCACTTTGAGCCCTTTGCTAACAATCCCAGTCCCTGCTGAAACCTGGATCAGAAGTTTTTTTCTGTTCTCCCTAAGGAGAATGGGAATGTTCCTCTGCCTCTGGTTGGAAGTTCTGGACAATGGTAGGTACTGGATGCGTTCATAAAAACACACATACAAAACATTAAAAACTGATTTACTTGTTCTTTTGTTGTTAAATGTTCATTATTTTTAATGCAATTAAAGCTATTCAAAAACACATCATGCAATGATTTCCTTTTTTTTTTTTTTTTTTTTTTTTATCTGGAGGAGTGGTGGTCACTGTGCAGTTGTAATGGATGTGTCAGCATGGTGTCTGAATGCCAGCTGGCTAACAAAACTGTCCAAATATGTACCTCTGTGATGACACATGTACAATGTACTGGTGAAAATGTTTGTTTGCTAATTATTTCTTCCCTCTGGGAAGTTTTATGGAAAATCTAAGATGAAGAGTTTAGGTAGGTTTTTTTGTAGGCTTAGTTTTCTCAGAGTGAGATATCTAACTTAAATTAATTATTTGGGCTGTTGTTTATGATGAAAGAAAATATCTCCACAGACTGTATGTCCCAACCTGAGAGAGTTTAGGGTAGGTGAATCGAATAGCTGGTTTAACCCATGTCTCCCCACAGACTGTCAGAGGAAAATTAGATCTGAATTTGAAGAATTAAAGTAAGACGACATGAATCTTTGTCTTCAAAATGCAATTGTAGGCAGGCATTAATTTTCACAGTTCTAAGATCTTGTGGGAAATGTGTGTCAACGAAGTATACAGAAACAAAATATTCCTGCTGGTCTTTGTTGCCTCTTACTTTTATCAGGAAGAGATGGTGGAAAAAAAACACATCTGATTTTTTGGGGGTGTTTTGAATCACGGAGATGACAATGTTTAGTTATTTCATGAAGAGTCTTTAAACTTTATAGCTAACAGATGTTTCTAAAACATGATTAAGGCCAAAGAGTATCTGAGGCAGAACTATATCTTGTGAGATTTTGATTCCTTATCTTTTGCCTTCACATTTGTGAAGAATGTCACAATTTGATTTTAAATTTCCCAGCCTATGAGGAGGAATACTGATAGGAACCAGAGTGAGATAACGACACTGTGTTTGTCTTTTAATCTCCCATATGCCTTTTGAAGTCAGATCAGTAATTTCCACTGATCATTTGCATTAACAGAAATCTGGAAAAACATATTAATAATGATTTCTTTGTTGGTAATAACAGTCCTCGACATCTGAAGAATTCCTCTGGTAACTGTAGGAAAAAAATCACAGAGGAAACAATAGAAGGGCAGAGAAGTTGGCACTGACAGACAAGATGCAATGACTACAGGAATAATGCAGCTGTATGTATGTGCTGCAAGTGTCTCGTTCGAGCACAACACTCATCCCCTGTTTCTGTGACCGCCAGTGGCACTGCTTACAGCACATACTAGTTTTTATGTTATCATGGTGACATGAAGGTCCTTAAAAAGGTGATTTAAAACACAGCATGCGTTTTTAATTTTTTAAAATATTTCATCACTCCTTGGTTTGAACACTTGCAGTGTTAAGAAAAGAAAATGTATTTTATTTGTGATGGGGACATTTTATTTTGAAGATGTATCTGCAGTATGCATTTGTACTAAGATACTCTGAAGTATGTTCACAATGTTCTTGGTCTTATTTGTGTACTTCAGAGGCTTCTTATTCTGACTGGAGCCAACATACACGTCTTAGGCTATTCAAATAAATGAATGTCTGGGCTGGAATAATCTGCACATGGATGAAAAAGAGAGGAAGGTTAAAAGCTAAATGAGACTGTTCGGAAGATTTACTATCAGCTGTGAAAGATGTTTCCCTGCACTAAAGCTAATCAAGACAATGAATTTTCATGTTTGTCTTGCATTACGGAGGAAATTGAATCAGACGTCTCTGGGGGATTCCTTTATTATTTGGTATTTGCACACTGGCACCCACACTTTTTTAGCTTCTGGCAATAAGATAACGTCAATGCACATATGGTAGCTAGGCTTCTCGCAAGGAAGTGAAGAAGCAACATTTCCCAACAACCCCAAACGTATGTTATCTAACGGAAAGAGATCCGGCACTTCCACATTGAATGTGTTCCTTTCCTATCTGTAGGGTGGTCCAATTTTGTCAGCTGCGAGGGACAGATTGGGTTTTAGGATGCCTTGTGGGCTGTGTTTGGTTCTCACTGCTGGGAGTGGGAGAACTAATGCAATGAGCTGGTTTGCCTTGCCGGCTTGTGGAGGAAGCTGGGCTGGTGCCTAGGGGCAGGAGGCTTCCTGACCACAGCAGCTGCTACGCTGCACCCTGTGGCCAACTGCTGCTGGTGGAGAACCAGGAGGAGGCACAGCTCAGGCTCAGTTCACTGGACAAGATGCTTTCCTCCTCCCTGGGCACAAGGAAGCAAGCCAGGGCTGCCAGTTGGACCATGGTGTATAAAGATTGTGCATTTTTAAGTCAAGGATTGCTAAAACACATTCACAACTACAAAATGCTTTTATTTATTTATTTATTTATTATTTTGTTTTAATTATCTTTTGAGGGGTACACAAAATGAAATGACCCCTGTAAGTGCCTTGCTTTGGCTGAAGGAAGAGACCACAAAGCCATAGTTCAGCTGAAACTACAACACTGAGGTCCAATTACAGTTAGAAGTGGCTCAGGCCATCTGTTTAGATGGTTAGACTTGATTTGGATTAACTTGCCCTGATGCTAGCACATCATGTTTTCATAGCTAAGTCTTATTCCTTCTGGTATCTGAAGGAATATTCTGGAGTATCTGAAGGAGTATTCTGGTAAGTCTTATACCCTTCTGGTATCTCAAGTTTCATAAACTATTTACAAATCTTCAAAGTTTTCAGGATCTATGAAAGGTTTAAATCAGTAAAAGAAGACTATTCAGCCCTTCCTGGCACATGGAAACACCATAGATTAACTCTTTGGTCCAGAATATATATACATATATATATATGTATATATATGTGTATATATACATATATATACATATATATATATATATTCAATACAAGCATTTTTTAAAAAAAGATCACCATCAGCTTCCTCCATTGTAAGTGAAATACCTATGGAAACAAGGCAGGATTTCTATTAAAATGATTATTACTGACATTCCAGATCTTTCTTAGACACTCACAAAAATGAAACTGCTGTGGACTTACTACCTGAATAGAAAAATAGAGGCAGCCCTTCCAGCTGCCCCATGGGGCAGGTGTTCCCCATCTGGCCCTGACGAGGTGGGTGTGTGAGGTGGCACCTAGAAACAAGAAGAAAGGCCTGCTGCCACTTGTATGGTTTCCTGAGGGTTGCCTCATGTTTTTTGGCTCTCCTGCAGTTACAAAGGTAAGTTTTGCAGGCTTTGTTTTTTTGAAGGGATAGAAATTTCTGTGTGCTTGTTAGATGTCCCTTGAAGAAGAAAAGGATGAGTGGGAGCTCACTGATCTCTCAATAACATGGGCAAGGTAAAGAAGCAGACTCTAGCCTTGCTAGGTAGGGGATGTGGCTTTCTTACCGAGAAAGGTTCTAGGAGAGAGGCTTAGAAAAGCATAATTAAAAGGATAGGGGATCCTGAAGCTATAGGGATGTTTATGTTGCTGTTGTATGTATAGGAATATTCTGATATCTGCTTCTGAAGGAGGGAGAGGTACTTCATGGATGTCCATGCTACATCAGAGGCTTAGAGGAACGTGGGGAATGAGCCAGCAGTATGTCAATGGTAAAATAACGTGTGACTCTCATCTTCAGATAAATTAAGAGGTAGTACCTGACTCCATTAAGAGAAGTCAGGGAAGCTATGTAATTAAGTATGGAGCTATGTGAGAAAAGAAGCTGTAGCTCATTTGTGATTAGGTAGGTGTCAGCTGCTGGGCTCTAACAAGGAGCTTTCTGTGGAAGTAGGGGAAGCAGGCCAGAGTGGAGGCCTATAAAGGTGTTCCTGGACAAAGGTTTTCATTATTTCCAGTTTGAGGTAAAATCATTTAATGATAATAATGGCCTTTTACAGGAATAAATTGCAAGGCTGTTCTAAAAATGGAATATCTGGTTTATGGGCTTTGTAAAATAGTTACCCTTTAATAAAAAGGGTTATATAACTGTGTATCTGATGTCTTTATGTGGCACTACTAGCAGTATTGTCCCAGTTTAAACAGGTAAGTCTATGCAAGTTGGCAATTCAGTCCAAAAAATCAGCTTTTTTTTTTTTTTCTTCTTTTTTATTTAAACAACAACTAGAGCTATAATACCTTAATTATATGTGAGGAGCCTCTGGTGTTGTTTTTTGCTAACACGTCTACTATTGTCCATTAATGGCTGGGAATCTCAGTAAGCTGTGGGGTATTGAACAACATCCTCTTCTTGTGCCGGTGCTCTGGTTTGTTGGAACCATGGTGAGATGACCTTGGAATTCCCTAATTTTACTAGCAAGAAGAGTTTCTGTTTAAGTGAATTTGACTCTGTGGTATGATTGCAACTTCTCTGTGTGCTGTGGAAGAGAAAACTCCTCCTCCAGCAGGAGGAGACAGTGAGGGAGAGGAGGACTTGCTTGGTTATAAACCAAGTTTAATGAATACTGAATTATGCTGGCTAGCCAGTTATCCTCACACAACTTTGAAATGAAATCCTTGTGTACTTCTCTCTGGTAGCTCTTCTAATTCAGCACATTTTACTTTATGCTGAAGTCCAGATTTCCTCTGTCTAGGGCTATTAAGATGGTGAAGGGCCTAGAGGGGAAGAGAGGAGCCTAGAGAGGAGTGGCTGAGGTCACCTGGCATGTTCAGCCTGGAAAAGAGGAGGCTGAGAGGACACCTCATCAGTCTACAGCTTCCTCACGAGGGGGAGCAGAGGGGCAGGTGCCAATCTGTTCTCCTTAATGACCAGTGATAGAACCCAAGGGAATGGTGTCAAGCTGAGGCAGGGGAGGTTTAGGCTAGGCATCAGGAAGAGGTCCTTCAATGAGAGGGTTGTCACACACTGGAACAGGCTCTCCAGGGATGTAGTCATGGCACCAAGCCTGTTGGAGTTTAAGTGTTTGGACTGTGCTCTTAGGCATATGGTCTGGATTTTTGGGTGGACCTGTGTCGTGCTAGGAGTTGGACCCAATGATCCTTATGGGTCCCTTCCAACTCAGGATATTTTGAATCCTAAGCAGGCATGGTAAACCCTCCTCTAGTGTAAGTGCTTTGCTTGTCCTGTTTGCTCTGTGTGCCTGCCATATGTCTGACTTAATGAATCTAGAGGTTGGATCATGGAAGAAAGAATAGAGATAATGTTTTAAGTTATATAGAATGAAGTTGCAGCAACTTGCTGAGGACTGCCCCATGTTTTTGGAGAAGGTACTTTGTTGCAAGCAGAACTTCCAGCTCCAGCAAACAAACCCTTGGTTGCATATGTTGTCTGTGAATGTCCATCCTTTTCCCACATCTCTTCTATATCTGTGAAATAGCTTTGTGTGGTCCACAGGTATCTGAACTGAGGAATAATTGGTTTTCTTGCTGTAATAGCTTTCCTGTGTCTACCATATGTTGTTGATGTAACAGGATGGTGTGGGGAACTGTTGTGCAACAAGTGTGTTAAAATTAGCCAGGTAGTGATGCAAAGAGGTGCTGTCCCCAAATGAACTTGATTGGAAGACAGAAAAAATTATTCCTTAGTGAGAGGTGGAGACATTACTGTTTAGATGTATAGTTTAACTCTTACAGACAGAGTGATTAAAGCCATCTTGTATTAAATTGTACTCTGCAATTCTACTGATAATACAAATATTTATCTCAACCTTTGTGCAACTTCTGTGAAGCTGCAAAGCATCCAAATGCTACTTTTACAAGCTTATTGCAGTATATATAGTATGAATATTCTTTCTAGATTAAGCGATGAACTATATTCAATACATCAGGGAGTACGGTGATCATGGACTTTAATGTTTTATTATCTAGTTGAGATGCATATTACTGATAAAGAACTTCATCCCTTAATTTTCATAGGAGCTGTATACTTTTTGAAGGTAATTAATACAGGAAAAAAAGTAGTATATGTTTATAGTATATATGCTTAGTATATATGTCTTTCTTTTTTCAATAAAAATCTTACTTGTATGATTTTTAAACCTTAGAACAAAGCACAGAATGTTAGGCTTATGTGGAGACACCTGCCATAGACTTTTACTTTTGTCAGGGTGAGCAAATACATAACGGATATTTATTTATTAAGGTAGGTGAAGTGGAAGCTCTATCTTGTATCACTCTGCAGCTATTCCAGTAGCTTTATCACACTTCCAGGATGCTGAACTGGGTAGGAATGTGAACTGCTTTAGATCCCTTCCTAAATAGGTTTATAGAAGGGGGTAAAATCATTAGACTCAATTTTTGTTTAATTGGCTTCTAGGGAAGGGCTTAGTCTTTTCATGCATGCCTACTGTATCTTTCCACCTCTTTCTGTTATTTCAAGGGAATCGATGATTTTAGAGTGCTTTTAATGCAATATGGAATAATTGAAATAGAAGTAGTTTGAAGACTCCAACTTTAATGAGAGGCTCCTGAGATCTAAAATGAACTCTGCAGTTACTTATAACATGAAAGAGAAATTAGCTTCGTACTGAAACAGATTTTTCATATCTTCTTTATAAATATTTGATATACTCATTCCATGCTTCAGTGGAGGAAACGGACTTTGAGCTGGACCTGTCTGGAGAAGTGGCTATTCTGCTGCATCCACCATGTGAACTGTTTAGAGTTAAGGTCTTCACTCAGGTTATTGTCTTCAGACAAACAGGCATAGTAATCTCAAAAGTCCAAACAGTATTTTCATTTCTTCTTCCCTTCTAATGGGCTCACTGACTGTTAATTAGTGATCTAAGTGTGCTTCTTCCCTCCACAACGTAAAGTGTGACTACTCAAGGTAGTCAGGCTGAAGCACCAGGTTCTTCTGATGTGTCTGCAGCTAGACTTGACTGAATCGGGTAGGCCTGTAGAATTTGAGACCACCTGTTTGAAAGCATGAACGTTATTTTTCTTACTAAAATAACTTAATTTTTAATGAGATTTTTCACTTTTTATTTTAAAGAAGCTCTTCAGACTCTGACATACTATATCTGTGTATCTTGCCTGTAATGTCTGTATGTAAGGGATGCTGCAATTTAAAGCCTGAAATGTAAGTATCTTCCACTTACACTAATTTCCAAGGCAAAGTTACAGATGTGTCATCTAAGCAGGACCCTCAGGCTAAGGACAGTGTAGATAGTTAATGAAGTATGTAGGAACTGTGGTCTACCATGCTCAGTATTTCCTTCTGACTTTCCTGTCACTTAAGTGACTCCCATACTTGTACCTTTCCTGACCTCCTGTAGGATCCTTATGGAGTACTATCAACTCTGTAAGTAGAACTTGCTAAGCCCTGGGGGTGGGGGGATACATTGTTGATACATATGTACCCTGGGGGATACATATTGACCATGCTGTAGCTTCTGGTGTTATTGTTGAAAGGTGAATGCTGTAGCTTCTGGTGTTATTGTTGAAAGGTGGTGTTTGCAAAGGACTGGTCTTAGCCCTGCTTCCCAGTTCCTAAAAGATTTGACTGCTTGTGGTAATGTGGGTATGTTGCTGCTTTTTGTCCCCTGCACTTGGGAGATACCTCCAAGATCAATTTGTCAAAAGCAGTGTTGCAATTTTACCACCTGAGTGAGGTTCAAATGGCCCAAACCTGTGCCATGGTTAGAACACTTCAGGAAAATCTGGTTTATTTAGGAAGTGTCTTGGAATTTCTGGTATGATGGCAGTGCTTTCAGCTTATGAAATCCAGTCACGTGGTCTTGGATGTTGACTTTGGTACAAAAACCTCTTCCTGGTGGCTGGCTGAAATGGACACCTGTGAAGTCTTCATGCTGGTCATACTTGGTGTGATGGCTGACTTTGGTGTCAGTGTATTTGAAGTAGGCATCTAAGAGCAAAGAAATGAGTGATCAGTAAGTACTATCTTGTCAAGCTGTTATGAGCTGCCAGTTGACTTCTTTTTCTATTATCCAGACTTCTGACTAATCTGATATTGAATCAGTGTAGTTCTTCCTAAGCTGACACATCGGTATCAAAGGCTTTTTTACACAAATTTGTATCTTGTTATTTTTTGGAAATGACTCATTGCTACCTTTACTTGATAGCTATAGATCTCACCTGTGATGCCAGTTGTTATACTAGACTTGAAGAGGCAGGGTGCCATCTTAGCAGGATGTTTGAAGAAGCCTGTTAGGAAAAAAGAAAAGCAGTCAAAAATAGAAGTAGGATCTTGATTTCTCTTGTGAGTGCTGTAATGACCATTGATTGGTGTATTCTGGGAGTATAAGAGTTGTTGGCTTA